TGTTCCCCAACTCGGTGGCCACGGGGCTCAGCTCCTGGTTGCACCACCTGAACAGAGAACACAAACTGTTTGTCCGAGCCCTGTTACGCAGACAGTGCTGGCTTCAGCTTGAGGTCTGCCCAGTTCGGATCCCTCATCACAGCTGCAACGGAGATTCCCCGTGGGAGGGAAAAGCCACGGTGCTGACAGCAGCCAGCCCAGAACGCCGTTTGTCTCCGTCTGTGATGGAGGGGTCAGATCGCTGGGAGGGGCAGAGCAAAGCTGGCTGCATCGCACAAGGAATCATCGAAAGGGGTTAGGGCTAGAGGAGGTTTTTGCTTACCTTCGAGCAGCAGAGATGTCTGCGGAGGAAGCGTCAGGCCGAGCTGCATGTTCAATTAAAAGAGCTCCTGTGGAAGAGCAGGAGACATCAGCACCCCGAGCTCCAGGCAGGACAGCGAGGGCTCGGGAGAGGCGGGTGGTGGTTACTGCTCAACAGCTCTTGCCCGGCTGAGCTGCCTCAGTTTGAAAGGTGGGGACCGAGCTTTCTTTAAAACTCCACCCTTTACCCAGAGGTCCCCTTTGAGGACCAATTCCTACCCTTGGCCTGGCCTGAAATCCATCGTTTCTGTCTTCCCCACTACCTGCGTAGATCCTTGCTAGGGCGTAGGAGAAGTCTCTTGCTGCTAGCTCCATGGTCACTGCCTGCTTTGAACCAGCTGCTTGCATGAACTGCACAAGGCTGCTGACGGCATCGCGTGTTTGCTTCACGGCGGGTTCCAGTTTCGCAGTACTCGAAGCCAGCTCGAGTTTTTTCTGCAAAGAAAACAATCACAGGGAAAATTAGAGCGTATTTACCTTCTGCAAGGAAACGGGGCTGGTGAAATCCTGAGCACACGCAGCAGCGACTCACAAAAAGCCGAAATCAAGGCGGCTGTAACCCGCGCTGCCGTCGGTGGAGCGGCCGGAGCGCCGCGTGGCAGCAGGAAAGGGGACGTTGCCAAAAGGAAACTCACAGCCTTGCCTGGAGGACAGAGAATTCCTGTGAGCCAGACCCAGCCTGTTGCTGCTTCTGTGCTGGCTTTCCAGCTGCGCGTGGGGACCGGAGCACATCCCCAGTTCTCTCTAACTGCGTACCAGCATCAGGGTCCAATTCTCCCGCTTTTACATTTTTACTTCCACAAAGATGCTAGAGCTGTGTCCAGGCAGGAAGATGCAGTTTAAAGGGGCTTCCCTCTGCAAGCCGTGCCAGCGGGAACGGCCTCAGGACCGGAGTGGCTCTCTTCCGAGGGACGACAGGCGTTTCACTGTGCCTCGAAGCACCACCCAAAAGCTGCGTGTGGTTGAGCTAAGCTGTTGTTTCTCCAGCGCCCCAAATACCTCGTGAAAGCACAAGCAATACTCTGCCCAGAGAGCCTGGAATAGCTGCTCTTTCGACACGGCATTCCCACGGCTGCCTGGATGCACCCGGCAGAGGCTAGCCTTTAATCCGCGTTTCCCGTGTTACTCCCTCTTACGAGGGATCGAACAGGAAGAGCATCCTTCCGTGTGGCGCTGCCAGGCTGGGATAACAACTTCTTCACCATATTCAAACCTGCCTCTGCAGCAGAACCAAAGGGTTACCTTGGACAGAATCGCAACAAGGAACCGTTACCTAGTTAAGTAGCTTAGCAGGCGGTAGGGGTCCTTTTTGTTAATTCATTTGCAGGTTATTAATGAAGCTAAAGCCTGTAAGTATCTGCTGCGCAGAATGAATTTTTTATGTTTTTGAGGCTTTCAGTGCTTAAGTGCTCATGCAGCTCCTGTTGTCAGTACATGAAGTTACAGCTTGTTTGCACAAGGGGACTCGGGACTGCACAGGCTGAACGCAGCTCCGGTTTCTGCAGTACGTCTGTGCAGTCCCCTCCTGCCCAACCACCGCCTTCTCTCTCCTGCCCATGAGTACAAGAAAAACACAATCCTCGGTGGATGCTGTTCTGTGCTCTAGGCAAAGCGGTGCATAAGTACTGACAGCATATGCTGCACAAATACAAACACATCGTCATTAAAGCGGTTAGGTCTAGTGCCAAGATAAAGTCCAAAGAACCCTCCAAGCCCACAGAATGCTAATCAGATGTTTTAAAAGTAGCTTGGAGCTTGTTGTTAACAAGGATCAAAGACCCCAAAGGCACAAACATGTTCCCGGCAGCGTGGGTGGAAGCCAGCACCGCACAGGCCGAGCGCAGAGACGATGTGTGCGCTTCTGACAGCACCCTCCTGCCGAGGGCTGGGGTACGAACAGCTACAGCCTGCGCTGCCTTGCTTTTCAGGGTTTAAAGACCTGGGCAGTACGGACCAGGAATATAAAAGCACCTTTTTAACCTTAGGGGGGGAAAAAAAAAAATAAATGTTGCATTCTCTTTGCTTTCCAATAATTTACACTTTTTTCTTTTCCCCCCCAGATTACACTCATTCTTTTCCTAACCAAAAGCACTGAATGTTCTGAAAGATCAAGCTGGGTTTTTCCACAACCTCCCCTGCATTTGAGAGCGAGAGGCTGGAGAGCCGCTTCAGGGGCGATGCTCGAGGCAGCAGCAGCTCCTGTTTTCTCTCCTGCATGTTGATCTGCTCCAGCTCTGCAGGGTGTAACTGAGGGGCGGCCCAGGCACACGGCATCGCCGTGCCAGCTCTACCGTTCTGTTCCCACTGAACTCGGAGAGCAAAAGAGCTTTAGAGCTCCAGTATTTCTGATTCCTTCGGTTTTTACTGAGGAATTTTAAGATGCCCTTCATTTGTTTGCTCTCACTAGCCACCAAACAAGATTGTCAGAGCAGTTTTTACTTAAAAGGTTAATCATGAGTGTTTAAAAATACAGGAACAGGAAGAACATCCAAAACAGGGCTAGGAGCACAAGTCTCATACTAATGCTTCAAGCAAATGTGTAGTCTCAGTTTAATAACCTAGATTTATTTCCTGCTGTGTTAAAATTGTGGTTATGGTCTGAAAAAGACCTGAAAATGCTATCACGTATCTTAGATTGTATGCCTGATTTACAGCTAGAGTTTCAGCCCTATGCAGTCATTCTTGATGCATACGATGGTTGATTCTGAGCTCTGCAAGATGCTTGCAGGACTGGCATTCAGAAACACGACCGTACCGTGACGTGACCACGTTTAACCTAAACTGACTAAACCGCAATGATCAAATAATTCGCCGGTGCTTTTTTAGAGGCACTTTTCATGTTGTAATTGAATTCTAACGTACACCCAATGCTCTGGCTCAAAATGCCAGCTAATAGATTTTTAGTATAACATGCAATGACTGTCCCCATGCAGTGCCCACCTGAAACCCCCACCACGGCTGAGCAGGAACCCAGGACCCTCTCACACTCGCTCTCCTCGCCGTGCGTTCTCCTGAGGCTTCGCAGACCACTTACCTCTGGACAAGGTGGTTTGTAACAAACTTGCCTGGGTATCAAGAACCCTAAAAATTCAGCTTCTCACAATCACATTGTGCAAGGATGAGGAAGTTCTCTGTATTTCCCTTGTCCTGAGGATAATTACGACATTGGGTGCCTGCTCCTAGACCACAGCACCATCAACGCTGGGTATCCCACCATCAGTACAGGGAACTGATACTGGACAAAAACAAGAATAGGTGGCAGTGGGGTTGGGGCAGGGGGAGTTACCCCAAGATGTGACCTTCAGAGAACCAAGTGCTGTGCTGTGCTAAGTACTAGCGCTGCTTTCCCCAAAGCAGCCTGTCATTGGGCACAAATCCTGCAAACTGAGAACACTGATGGACAAATAAAAAATAAATTGTACTACTTTTGTGTGCATCAATAAAAAGGAAATGGATTGGAGCAGTAAAAATCCCTTTACGAAGGGCTAAATGATTTCCTCACTAGACTGGAATGAGAAGGATATTTCAAAATGAGCCAGACTCCCAGAGACCAAAAGAATTTGGACACCTGGAGCTCCCAAAGAGGTTGTTTAGCACCTGTGAGTGAAACCCTGATTCTGGTGTAGAAACTCGGCACATTCCTGCCCGATGCTGCAGAGGCACTCTGCAGAAATGCCTCCCAGTCTGCCTTTCCAGTGCCTGGCTGCCAAAGGCGTAAGGGCAAAGCTTTCTGACGTGTCCAGGTTAAATTTGCCAAGTATGACCTGTTATATCCAGAACCAGTGCATCAACACCGCTCCCCCAGCTGAGCCCATTCCAGCCATTCTCCGTGGAAATGGAGGCAGCCTCAGTGTGACACGAACAGCAAATGCAATGGCACTTACCAGAATCTGGAAACTTTTAAAGTCAGTGCTAACTTGCTCACCTTCCAGACTCATATATAGCATGATTTGTAGGAGTGCAAGAGCAATGATGAGCTTGTTAATTAATAAATCTCAATACTTGGTGTTACTGCTGTGCAGGTACCTGCTCTGGATGATGTTGCTGTGTTCTTTACTGCTCCTCTCATTATCCAGTTGTTAAGAAGCTGGAGGGGCCCTCTCAGCTACACCAGTGAGGTCCTCCCAGGACTGCAGTGTGGCACCTTGGTGAGGTATTTGTTTAAATTAGCGTCAGTGTAAGACTGTGGAGGCCAGCTTCTGTCTAAGTTATTTTTAGAGCCTGCCACTGGCTCGTTTCCTTCTCCACTCCATTACCTTCAGTGTCAGACTAGGCTGCTTTTTATCAACAGCTGGCCCAGCTGGCTTTTTAATGGGCAGGTGTGCTCAGTCCTGCCTATAAGCAGATTTGGCCTTCTTGTTTGGTAGTCCAATTGTTTGAGATATTGTTCCTTTATCAAAAGTTGTCTGAGAGGATGACACTCGTCTCTGGAGGTCAGAGAGGTGCTCTCGACAGAATACGGCTGAGCCGTGGGTTCGAAATTTAACAGAAATTGCCAGCTGCAGCCACTGGTGAGAATTACTTGGGCTCTTGCTCGTGTTTTTTTGAAAGACCTTTCCAGCTGTCAATGCTGCAGGGAGTGCAGCGGCCCAGACCTTTCCCTTCTCGTGGGGTCTGGATGAGAAAGTGGAGGCTACGCAGAGTCAAATCCAGCACCCCAGATGCCCAGGATTCCCTCACTGTATCTGGGCTAATGTAATCTGGAGTGCTCTATCTGGATTAATAATGTCATCTGAGAGAACACCCTCTGATGTGCCGATCGTGACTTTCAGGCTGGTGCCTGTCTCCCTTTATCGGATGTGTCAAGCCAGCTGATGCTTGTTTACCTTCATGAAATTGTGAGCTGCTTTGATCTGTCTGTGACTGCCTGTCATCTGAGCACCTTTAAAAGAGCAGCCCGTAGGTAAAGCCAGCGAATGGCAAATCTAAAGAAGCAGCAATGGAATTCCTTTGGAGTGGGAATAAAAATAGAAAGTCGTAATGGAGTAGGTAGCCCTAGTGAAGGTTTAATATTCAGCAGTCTGGTGGTGTTTTTCCAGTTAAGAAACAAAACCACAAAATTATTTTCGATTCAGGAAGGTGACTCTCTCCTGTTAAAAATAGACTTGTATTGGTACCTGTCACGAGGAACTCTGACAATGCAAAACTCTTCACTGCTGGGATGAAAGTATCTGCATTTTTTGTAACACACAAGGATCCCAAAATGAGCACTGCCTGCCTTCTGCTTTTGTAAGTGCTACTTAAAGAGCAGAATTGTAAGACACCTTCTGAATACTTGTCTCAAGCTTTCAGTTTGGTGATACTCACTACCAGTCTCAGCTAGGAGCATCAACACCAAATAAGACTCTGCCAAGGTAGGCAAATCAGGCTGACTGGTGCTTTTGATGTGGGCTCACCTGCACTGAGGAGAAGAACACAGCCATCACCTGTCCTTGGCTCTTGGTGAGGCATCGCAGGACATCAAGTGACAGGATATTTGTTGTTCCCTCCCATATGGACAGCACCTGTGGGGTAGAAGAGACTGTGGAAGAGCATGAAGGAGCCTTTTGGAGCGACCACAATAAAGAAAGGGGAACGTGAGGAAACAAAGACACGGGGCAGAGCTAAGGGATACCAAGGAAATCTCCAGAGATGTCTTGCCTCACCACAAGTGGAAAGGAGCAGTGGTGATGAGAGCTAGGAGCCCAGCTCCACAGCTGAGCGAGGACACAACCCCAGCACCAGGAACAAATCACGTCCCCTCCCTGGCCATGAGCGGGCTCAG